CAGTTGAAAACTACCTCTATGTTCCTCAGTTTTCAAAGGATGACTAACCTAGAATCAACATGGCCAATTGCATTATGATTTCATGTGTTCAATGCCAACCGAGGGAACTGGGTTAATATATAAAACCATGGTTTAAATGAGTTGATTAAAAATGCAGTTTTAAGCCATTCTACCCTAATCTTGTGTTCTCAAAATGAGCTGAAGTCCCAACATCTGGAGAACATCAGGAAAAATAAGGAAAAATAAGGAAAAAGTATCTATCTTTGATCCTCCATTTTGGATTCCGAAGTGAATAGTAAGCTGCTAATAATTCTAAAACTGAGCTTGTACTTTTTAAATATGATGGGAGTGTCACAGAATTCCCATATCTGGTCATGCCATATTAAATGTACTCAAACATTGAACTTTAATAGCTCCTATAAAACGTATTCTAAGTTTCCTGAAAGGCATCATGATTATTCATCTGTGCGTTAGAAGTGGAAATCTACATGATTTATTTTCAGGTTTTCTAAGACTCCCTATGGATGATGCAAGGTTTGGGTTATATTTTTTTGGTGGGGGGCATGGGAACTAAGTCTGCTCAAAGAATGGATGACGTTAGATTCCAAACTTTAAGGAATAAAAGGCTATGCTCTTTGACCTTGTCAATATTTTCTTGCTACAAGAAAATATTCAAAAATGAATCATGTAAAGTGTGGAGTTTATTTTTCCAGGCAAAAAAATGCATAGGGCCAGCTACTTATTGGTTTATGCTTGGCACGGATGTTGCACTGTGTGACAATATCATTTCTTTGATTCCGTCTTAATGTTATAAAGCCAGCCAATAAGGGTTTATTAATAAACCACAACTAAACATACTGTGCTTGAATTTGAATTGAGGTCAGTGGTCAGGTTCTTCCATTCATGCCTTCTCCACAACCTCCATGTGCTCCTTGTTCTCATTAGGGGTGTCTGTAGCAGAGTGGACAAAACAAGGTATAATGGCATTTTTTAATGTCGCTTTTTAAACTTTTTCTGTTGTTCCTCTCCCGCACCTTTCTTTTCTTTTAATTTTGAATTTTGTTATTTTTTGGAAATTTAATCATTCTTTAAAAAAAAAAGTTATGCCAGCCACAGACATGCAGCTGAGGCCTTACTCCATTTTCATGTGTGTAACTTCCACTGTAAGTACAGGTCTTGAATTGCATTTACATAAGCCCAGCTTCCTGGGCACTAATTTATTACTTTGTAAGGTAGTCCTTGACTTACAACATTTACTGACCATTCAGAGTTACAACGGGACTGAAAAAAGTGACTTATGATCGTTTTTCACAACCTGTAAGGACCTACTGTACCTCAGCTAAGCCAGCCAAGAAAGCAGAACTCTTGAAACAGGCATTGTCTCAAAAGGAAAGGGTAGGAAAGCTGTGGCAGATCTAGACAGCATACTAAAAGCGGAGACATCACCCTACCAACAAAAGTGCGTATAGTCAAGGCCATGGTTTTCCCAGTTGCAATGTATGGCTGTGAACGTTGAACCATAAGAAAGGCTGAGCGACAAAGAATTGAGGCCTTTGAACTATGGTGCTGGAGAAGAATTGAGGCCTTTGAACTATGGTGCTGGAGAAGAATTGAGGCCTTTGAACTATGATGCTGGCGAAGACTCCTGCGAGTCCCCTGGACTGCAAGGCGATCAAACCGGTCAGTCCTAGTAGAGATCAACCCCAACTGCTCTTTAGAAGGCCAGATCCTGAAGTTGAAACTCAAGTACTTTGGCCACCTAATGAGAAGGAAGGACTCACTGGAGAAGAGCCTAATGCTGGGAAAGATGGAGGGCAATAGAAGAAGGGGACGACGGAGAATGAGGTGGCTGGATGGAGTCACTGAAGCAGTAGGTGTGAGCTTAAATGGACTCCAGAAGATGGTAGAGGACAGGAAGGCCTGGAGGAACGTTGTCCATGGGGTCGCGATGGGTCGGACATGACTTCGCAACTAACGACAACAACAAAAGGAACTTTTATTAGGGGCTAGTGACAGCAGGGATTCAAGGCGAGGTCTGGGGGGAAAACCCACTAAAGCAATATAATAAAAGCAGCATTCAATACGTTCTTTCAAGGTCTCTCTCCCTTTCGTTTCCTTCTGGCTCCTAGGCAAACGTCTCTTAGATAAGGGTGAGACATTCCATCACCTGGGGGAAGGGCATCATTTTGCAATCCCAAAAACTCCCCTCTCCAACAGAATGGCAGGTCACAAAGAAGGTTTACAAATTCAATATGCAAATGGAAAGAATACATTTCTTTAGGGACCTGACACAACCTTTGTAGCATCCCCGTGGTCATGTGATCAAAATCCAGATGTTTATGATAGCTGCAGTGTCCTGAGGTCGTGTGATCCCCTTTTGTGACCTTCTGACCAGCAACGTCAATGGGGAAGGCAGATTCACTTAACAACCGTGTTACTAACAACTGCAGTGATTCACTTAACAACTGTGGCAAGAAAGGTCATAAAATGGGGCAAAATTCCCTTAACAAGTGTCTCGCTTAGCAACAGAAACTTTGCACTCGATTTGGTCATGAGTTGAGGACTACCTGTATTTATTTTATTTATATCCCGCCTTTATTATTTTATACAGAACTCAAGGTGGCAAACATAACTTATAGTTCTTCCTTCTCCTATTTCTCCCCACAACCCTGTGAGGTGGGGTTTGGTTGAGACAGAGGAGGACTGGCCCAAAGTCACCAAGCCAGCTTCCATGCCTAGAGCAGTACTAGAACTCATGATCTCCTGGTTTATTAAAGAGTTTCACCATGGGACATCTTGATCCCATTATCTGTAAGAGATAAGGTGCCTAAGAAAGAGACACAGGGCCTTATCGATGATGATAAACACAGTTGGTAAACTTCCCCCATCTTTATCATCCTCTAAAGCAGTGTTTCTCAACCTTGGCAACTTTAACTTATGCGAACTTCAATTCCCAGAATTCCTCAACCAGCAAAGGATTCTAGGGATTCTGGGAGTTGAAGTTCACATCTCTTAAAGCTGGCAAGGTTGAAAAGAACTGCTCTAAAGAGTGATTGTCACCTAATTTCAGTCCAAACATCACTTTTTCCCCCAGTGGATGCCAATTATATCTTCAGCTCATCCTTAACTGTACAACCCTTCACAAATTATTTTGCCCCTTAATCCAAGGACGCCATTTAAGGGCACCATGATTACCTGCCCCCGAGGAAACCAGGATTTTGACAATGATTAGGAGTAAAAGCATAACAACAGTGAGCAATTCAGACAGCTAATTTTATATACAGTTTTCTGCCAGAGCAATTCAACTCAGCCATGGCAAAAAGCCCTTAAAACCTTTTTTGCTCTTTTTATTTCTCCCAAAATTTCAGATGCACTTTTAAAACTATTTCCTGCTTTACAGCCGTTGCCCCGTTTTCTTTCCTACTAACAGTACAGGTAGTCCTCAATTTACAACCACAATTGAGCCCTGTTGAAAGAAAAATCTTCATCAGGGTCCAGTCCAAACTGGGAATAATCAAAATGGAGACTGCTTTATTAACGGGTGGAGCCAGACAGAAAGATGACTCTGGAAAAGCTGGCCACATGTAGCAGGGAGTGGTGGGTTTTTATACCTTGAGGTTGTTTCCTGTTCTTGTTTGAGGTTTTGTATTTCCTGTGTCATGTACTTTGAGCTGAGTCTGAGTGTGTCCTTTTGGTATTGGTGGGTTAATCCTATTATGTCCCCAAAGGCCATGTCTTTTAGAGTTTGGGTGGGGTATGTAGATTTTAGAGATCTTTGTCTTCCTAATCTCATCAGCTTCTAGCTTCCTGCTCCCAACCTTCCTGAATGGATTACTACATCTGCATTTCTAAAAGCTGGTTTCTGCTGAGTTTTCTGGCTGTGGGGAGGGAGAAGTTTCTGCCTTTTAAAAATCTTCTCCATTATTCCNACCCCAAGGGGGAGGGCCTTCTCTGTGGGAGCTCCCACCCTCTGGAATGAACTGCCCCCAGAGATCAGGGTTATCCCTGATCTCCCTTCCTTTCGCCGCACCCTCAAGACTTGGTTATTCCAGCTTGCAGGACTGGCCTAGGGTAATTTTTAGGGGGGTTTTAATTATATTTTAAAATTTGACAAATATTTAAATATTCTTTTTAATTAATTTTAAATTTGTATTGTTTTGTATGTATTTTAAATAGATTGTCAGCCGCCCTGAGTCCTACGGGAGAAGGGCGGGATATAAATCCAAAAAATAAATAAATAAATAAATAAATAAATATATTCTGCCTTTTTAATATTTCCCCAAATATTTATTTCTCTGGATTCTTCTCGCAGCCCCAAATTTAAGTTGTTAAGTGAGACATTTGTTAAGTGAGTTTTGCCCCATTTTACGACCTTTCTTGCCACAGTTGTTAAGTGAACCACTGCAGCTGCTTAAGTTAGTAACACAGCCCTGAAGTGAATCTGGCTGCTCCATTAACTTTGCTTGCCCAGAAGGTCACAAAAGATGATCATATAACACACACACCCCCAACGCTGCAATCCTCATAAATATGAGTCAGTTGCCAAGCATTTTGATCAGCCAAGCATAACCATAGGGAAGGCCACAACGGTCATTAAGTGTGAAAAACGGTCATAAGTCCCTTCCTCCGTGCCCTTTTAACTTTGAACGGTCACTAAACGAACTGTCGTTAAGTCGAGGATTAGCTCTGCCTTCTCCTGACGACTCTGATTTGTGCCGCTGTTGCAAACTAACGTGGGAAACCGATTTGAATGCAAGAGAGACAAACTCTCCAGCAAAAAAAAAAAAGGGGGGGCGGGGAAACAGCTGAAATTCACCGGATCGATTCCGGGCAAACTGGATCTCTGTTCCAGGAATCCGCCCCGCAGTGGGGTGGGGGGGACATGCGCTGCAGCCAAGGCGCCGCACCAAACGTCTCGGAGCCCTGGGAAAGCGACCAAACAACCCTAGCCCTTCACACGTGACACGCAAGGGCGGGCCCAGCCGANGGGGACAGACAGGGCTCGGCAGGCTCTTGTGAATCCGGCGCGCCCGTTTCTCCGCTACGATCGCCCTGCGCGGTGCCATGGCGCGCTGGGCAGCCCTGCTCGCCTTGTGTCTGGCCGTCCTCCTGCAGGTCGGGCCATGCACGGCCGACACCCCGGCCAACTGCACCTTTGAAGACCTGGAGGGCACCTGGGTGCTCCATGTGAGAAGCGGGCAGGGGCCCCCGACCCGGGAGATCAATTGCTCCGACGCGGGTAAGTCGCGCGTCTTTCTGCTCGCCGCCTTTTGGACTTTTTCCTTCCTTCCTTCCTTCCTTCCGTTCTTCAGGAAAGAAACAGAAAAGAATCAAAACTTTGCAACGGGAAACAAACACGCAAGTTCAACCGTTCCCAGTCGATTTAACGCATGAGTGCTTTTTCCAAAAGGCAACTGGACTTTCTTGGGGGTTTTTTTCCTTTGAAAATAATAATAATAATAATAATAATAAGAAGAAGAAGAAGAAGAAGAAGAAGAAGAAGAAGAAGAAGAAGAAGAAGAAGAAGAAGAAGAAGAAGAAGAAGAAGAAGAAGAAGAAGAAAGTTGGAAGGGACCTTGGAGGTCATCTAGTCCAACCCCCTGCTCAGGCAGGAACCCTACACCATTTCAGAGAAATGGCTGTCCAGTCTCTTCTTAAAAACTTCCAGTGTTGGAGCATTCACCGCTTCTGGAGGCAGGTTGTTCCACTGGTTAATTGTTCTCACTGTCAGGAAAGTTTCGCTTATGGTCCAAAAAACTTCTTCACTTCATTTCACTTCACTCCTTGAGAAGCGAAGCGTTTTCAAAGAAAAAACCACAAGAAAGCCCAGTTGCTTTTTGAAAAAAAGCAGAAATAGAAATAGAATAGACAAGAGTTGGAAAGGATCTTAGAGGTCTTCTAGTCTATTTAACCTACCCTAGTTCCCCCCCCCCTGCAATAATCAGCTCATTGAACACGACTCGACAGGGCTAGTCATCTAGGTCGCCTCTCACCACCGAATTACAAATCCCATCGTCCCCAGTTTGTGTGAATATTGCTCATTGGAAGCTGTAACTAAACACAGTTTGGTGATGCCAGGCTAGGGCTTATCCCATCATGTTAAACCAAGTTAAAATGAGACTGGATCATTTGCAATTCAGCATTCTAGAAACATAATGGCTATCTTTTAAGATGAAACCAGTCATTCCCGTGACTCACGATATGGTTGATTGGTTTGGACCTTGTGGATTGTGCAAACAGAAGAATTGTTTTGACAATCTGGTTATGCAAACACTTTTCCTCCATTCCAATTCAGTGCCTCCTAATTCTCATTTTCCACTTGAACTGAAGAGATGCACAAACTTGGGGAATATATTTGGGTCTCAAAACCAAACCTGTTGCATTCAAGAAATATTTCTGGATCGGCCTTCCTTCAGCAGAGATGCTACTTGGAGCAGTGTTGTAGTTCCATGTTTGGGATAAAGGAACGCTTAAAGTCGCTTGATAGTGAGCTGGGCGGCATACAAATTTAATATTTTTTTTAAAAAAAAATAAGGAGTCTTCCAGTGATTTTGCAGGGCAAATATGCCAGAGTTAATAATTATGCCCCTGCTATCATTCATGCTCTTGCCAATTTCCTGTGGCCCATATTGCCACCACCCACCCCACCTTCTATCAGTTTGTTTATCTGCCTCTCCTTACCTCTCCCCCCTTGGTTAATGGCCTTGGCTTCCCTCCCCCCCCCCAATATTTGGCTTATCAGTCTTTAACTAGAGCAGCGGTTCTCAACCTATGGGTCGGGACCCCATTTGGGGTCGATCAACCATTTCACGGGGGTCGCCAAGCAAGGCTGTCCGCCATTTTTTTTCCTTTTTTGGCGGGTGCCTTACCTCCCTTGGGCTGGGCCAGCTGGTAGTCGGCCTGCTCTGTCTCTGCTGCTTGCCAGCTACGCCTCGGCAGGCGCAGGGGGGTGGAACCACGCATGCGCGGCGCTCCCAGGCAGGGAAAGTCCTCGACTTATGACCGGTTGGGTAGTCCTCGACTTATGACCGGTTTAGTCCTCGACTTACAACCGGTTTAGTCCTCGACTTATGACCGGTTGGGGGTCGCGGTATTAAAAAGGTTGAGAACCACTGAACTAGAGCAAGGGTAGGCAACCTTGGCTCTTTTATGACTCGTAGACTTCAGCTCCCAGAATTCCTGAGCCAACATGGCTCAGCTTGGAAACCTCTCCCTTTCCCCTCAGCGTGGCTGGCTCAGGAATTCTGGGAGTTGAAGTCCACTCATGTTCAGGGTTGTCCAACCCTGGGCACTTTAAGACCTGTGGACTTCAACTCCCAGAATTCCTCAGCCAGCCATGCTGGGTGGGGATTCTGGGAGTTGAAGTCCACAGGTTTTGAAGTGGCCCAGGTAGGATATCTCTGCTCATATCTCAATGCTGGCTCAGGCCAGCCACCCCCCACCCCAAATGAGCTGTCCATAGAGTATGTGTGCATAAGGCAGTATAGTTAATAACGGGCAATAGTACCTAACTCAACACTGAAGCCTCATTTAATTCAGCATACAATTAACTCCTCAATCTATTGATTAAAAACTTTGCAACTGGTGTCCTCTTTCCTATCCCCAACTAAAACTATAGGAACCGTGTGTTTTTTTAATCAGCAAAGTCCATCTGAAGTCCAAATTTGGGGAATATTTACAAGGAGGGGATAATTGCTTTGCAATATTTAGTATCAGAGGTATGTTGCTTTTTCCAGCGTCAAGGTTAATAGCTGTGGTTTCTCTTCATGTGATGATAGTAGGATGTTTTAAGCAGAAATTTCAGTGGTTTCTGCTTGGGTGTCAGGCCTCTTAAACTTCCTCTTCTTCCTCCCTACTATCGCTATTTTTTTGTTCTTGGGTTTTTAACCTTCTTTCTGGACATCTGTGCTCTTGCTCGATGCTTATTAGCAAAAAATCAGGTTTTTAAGTCCCTAAAAATGAGAGTTATCACTTGTATCTAGAGAAGTGCATAACTATTATGATTAGGGGACTGGAGGCTAAAACATATAAAGAACGGTTGCTGGAATTGGGTATCTCCAGTTTAATGAAAAGAAGGACTAGGAGTGATATATAGCTGTGTTCTAATATTTGAGGGGTTGCCACAAAGAAAAGGGGATCAACCTATTTTCCAAAGCACCAGAAGGCAAGACAAGAAACAGTGGATGGAAACGAATCAAAGAGAGAAGCAACCTAGAACTAAGGAGGAATTTTCTGACAGTGAGAACAATTAATCAGTGGAACAGCTTGGCTACAGAAGTTGTGGGTGCTCCAACACTGGAAGTTTTTAAGAAGAGGTTGGACAGCCATTTGTCTGAAATGGTATTGGGTTTCCTGCCTGAGCAGGGGGTTGGACTACAAGACCTCCAAGGTCCCTTCCAACTCTGTCATTCTGCATTCTGTATTCGTTGTTGTTGTTGTTAATTGCGAGGTCGAGTTCGACCCATCGCGACTCCATGGACAACGTTCCTCCAGGTCTTCCTGTCCTCTACCATCTTCTGGAGTCCATTTAAGTTCACGCCTACTGCTTCAGTGACTCCATCCAGCCACCTCATTCTCTGTCATCCCCTTCTTCTATTGCCCTCAATCTTTCCCAGCATTAGGCTCTTCTCCATTGAGTCCTTCCTTCTCATTAGGTGGCCAAAGTATTTGAGTTTCAACTTCAGGATCTGGCCTTCTAAAGAGCAGTCAGGGTTGATCTCCTCTAGGACTGACCGGTTTGAACACCTTGCAGTCCAGGGGACTCGCAGGAGTCTTCTCCAGCACCATAGTTCAAAGGCCTCAATTCTTTGGCGCTCAGCCTTTCTTATGGTCCAACTTTCACATCCATTCTGTATTCATTAATGAACGCCAAGTTAGCTTTGTATTTTTGCAGCTTAGTTTGCTCCAGAGGAGGATGGGAGAAGGCAGATAAAAATAAATAGTATTTTCTTTTATTGCCACTATACTGACCTAAAAATATAATTGAGATCAGCGGAGAGGAAAACATTCCAACTCTATAGAACTGACAATCCTTTTTCTATGCATTTCAACTTTTTTTGGTTTTTACCAATGTGCCTTACTGTAAGTGTACATCTAATCCTCGACATACAACCACAATTGGGATCAGCAAGGAGGTTTTTCTAACTGAGTCGTGCCCAATTTTATGACCTGTTTTGCCACAGTTGTGAGGTGAATCACTGCAGTTGTTAAGTGAATCACACAGTTGTTAAGCCAGAATCTGGCTTTCTCCATTGACCTTGCCTGTCAGAAGCTGGCTGGGAAGGTCATAAATTATCACATGACTCTGGAGTGCTGCAACTGTTGTAACTGTTGTAAGTACAGGTAGTCCTCGACTTACAACAGTTCATTTAGTGACCATTCCGTGTTACAAGGGCACTGAAAAAAGTGGCTTAAGCCATTTTTCACATGACCGTTGAAGCATCCCCCTGGTCACGTGATCAGAATTCAGAATCTTGGAAACTGACTCATATTTATAACGGTTGCAGGGTCCCAGGATCGTGTGATCCCCTTTTGCGACCTTCTGACAAGCAAAGTCAATGGGGAAGGTAGATTCATTTAACAACCATGTTACTAACTTAACAACTGCGGCAAGAAAGGTCGTAAAATGAGGCAGAACTCATTTCAGTAATGTTTTGCTTAGCAACAGAAATTTTGGGCTTGAGAACTATCTGTAGATGTTGGGTTGCCAGCATCCAAATTTTGATCCCGTTACTCTGGAGATGCTGTGACAATTGTAAGTGTGAAAAAAACGTCATAGGTCACTTTTTTTTCAGTGGCATTGTACCTTGAAATAGTCACTAAACAAATGATTGTAAGTCAAGGACTACCTATATCAGGGGTGTCAAACTGCCGGCCCGCGGGCCGGTTGCATCATATGGAGGCCGTGCCACCCCAGCTCCAGCAATACAAAAAAAGTTGTGATACGTCGCGACACGTCACATGACGCGGCAAGTTTGACACCTGTGACCTATATAGAAAAGATGGCCACTTACGGATATGGAGAATTTTGCTATGGGTGAATGGTGTATGCAAACTGCCTTCACTTTCTCTGCTAATTCCTGTTTCTAATAAAGAGTAGTAGGAGTAGTAGTAGTAATATATTACTATATTATATTATAGTAATATAATAAATATATTATTAATAATAATAATAATAATAATAATAATAATAATAATAATAAAGTTGGAAGGGACCTTGGAGGTCATCTAGTCCAACCCCCTGCTTAGACAGGAAACCCTATACCATTTCAGACAAATGGCTGTCCAGTCTCTTCTTAAAAACTTCCAGTGTTGGAGCGTTCACCATTTCTGGAGGCAAGTTGTTCCACTGGTTAATTGTTCTAACTGTCAGGATTAATTGTTCTAACTGTTAATTCTAGATTGCTAATTGTCAGGAAGTTTCTCCTTAGTTCTAGGTCAGTGATGGTGAACCTTTTAGACACCGAGTGCCCAAAAACTGCCCCACCCCCGTTCCACCCCTGCCCCATCCCCACCCACCTGCAGGGCCACCCACCACCTCCATGACCCGCCGCAGATCGCCTAGGCAGCCCAGTAGCGCCATTGCGGCCACGCCCTCCACCCTTGCCCCGCAGCATCATCTGTTTGCAACGGGGTGCAAGGGCGGAGTCTTGTCCCCACTGCCATGTTGGCTGTGCTGCTCCAGGCAGGCCGTGCCTGGGGATGACTCCCCTCCGGGGGGGCTGGTGTGGAAGGAACCGTGGGGGAGGCAGGGCTGGGGCGATGGCATGTGTGCCCACAGAGAGGGCTCCGAGTGCTGCCTCTGGCACTCGTGCCATAGGTTTGCCACCACTGTTCTAGGTTGCTTCTCTCCTTGATTAAAATGCAGCTATGCAGAGTTCAGGCTCAAAGTAAATAAAAGTGTATTTCAGTGCACATGCCAAACCGCTGTCTGTATCTCCTCAACCAAACATGATTTTTCTTGAGATTACACAAAATTTGCAGGAGGCGACCATATCACCTCAGGAAAAAAGCGCTGCTGCTTTAAGGAGACGTGAGCAGAAATTTCAAAAAAACCTAACTTGCCCTGCTGATGTTGATTGCTCAATGGGAACTTGCGAAGGAGAACGAAGAAGGAAATGGTGGTTTCGTTTAGGAACTGAACTGATTTTACATTTTTCCTTTGTCAACATTTTTGTTAATTGTGTGATCACATGCCCTTTAATCAGAGATCTGGGCGGTGGAATTTCCCCACAGGCCTTTACGAGGTGCAGTCAGCCAGCTGTTTGTATAAAAGAAAAAAAAATTAAAGTTGTACTTTGGCATCCTGCCGCTTTAAGTAACAGAAACAGAAATAATTTTTGAATCTGCCTTGTGCCTGAAACTTACTATTGGGTCAGTCAGAATTTCAGTCATGTGAATGTTTTTTTTTTCTTTCAAGCAGATTTTTGTGCTTACCATTTGGTTGCTATATATATATACATGTATGTATGTATGTATGTATGTATGTATGTAT